CACAACAACAACCACAACAACAACAAACTCCACCACCACAACAACAACCATCAATTTGATTATTTCATTAACGTTCATTATTGCCGAATGCAATAATGGCCGCAATTGACTTCTAGCAAAAAACTAGTTTTCAAAAATAAACGCCACCATCACAAAGAGCAAGCATAACTATGTATTTTTGGAAAGTTTTATTTCTATACATAGAATTTCAGTGAAGTTATTTGCATGGAATCAAAGTTACAGAGATGACTTGGGACTGACTAAACTCGTTCTGGTGTTTTTCACATATATAAATTATCATAACTTCTAAACAATTCAATATTTCTACTTGAAACTTTTTTACTTCGTTTATATCATTCTAATAGTGGCGGCCATTATTGCATTCGGTGTATAAGAATGTATAAACTCACAAAATTGAATTTTTTTCCGATATTCCTCGTAAATTAGGAAGAGCGGTTAACCTATTTTTACTCAAAAACCTAAAAGAAAACAGGGATAGGTAATCTGGCATAAATAATACAAGGCATATTTAGTTACAATGAAGTTAATGATAAACATAATAATAATATCCACAATACAAGAAAGTGTTATTTTTTGATAAACTTCTATTTTAAAAGATAGGTATTCTGAAAAAAATAATACAAGGTATGTTTAGTTACAATGAGGTTACCGCCATTTGCATTGCTACGCGGCCACCCCAGACAAAAATCGCGACGTGCACTTTGTAATACACTGCCGTCGATCAAACACGTTGACATCATTTACACGCATGTGTGATTCAAAAGGCACCAAAACGTGTCGATTGTTTACAAATATTATGAGCCACACTCACCGGGCCGATCCAAACGCGTGTAAATGACGTCAACGTGTTTGATTGACGGCAGTCTATTGCACGTCGCGATTTTTGTCTTGGGTGGACGCGTAGCAATGCCAATGGCGGTAATGATAAAGATGATAATAATATCGACATAGAAAGAAAGGGGTTTTTTTTTTTGGTAAACTTCTGTTTTAAAGAAATTGGTTACTTGTCCT